AGCATACAGTGGAGTAAGGACAGCCTCATTAATAAATGGTGTTGGGAAAATTGGACAGCTACTTGCAGAAAAATGAAACTAGACCATCAACTTACACCCTACACGAGAATAAACTCAAAATGGATAAAAGACTTAAATGTGACTCATGAATCCATAAACATCCTAGAAGAGACTGTAGGCAACAAAATTTCAGACATCATACGCAGCAGAATTTTTACTGACACATCACCTAAGACAATAGAAACAAATGAGAAAATGAACACATGGGACTACATCAAACTCAAAAGCTTCTGCACAGCGAAAGATACAATCATCAAAAGGGAAAGGCTACCCACTGTATGGGAGAGCATAATTGCCAATGATATATCAGATAAGGGGTTAATTTCCAATACATATAGAGTGCTCATAGAACTCAACAAAAGGAAGACAAAGAATCCAATTAAAAAATGGGCAGAGGAACTAAATAGACACCTCTCCAAACAGGACATACAGATGGCTAAGAACATATGAAGAAATGCTCAACATCACTAAACATCAGAGAGATGCAAATTAAAACAACAATGAGGTATCACCTCACACCTGTCAGAATGGCCACCATCGACAAATCATCAAACAATAAGTGTTGGCGAGGGTGTGGAGAAAAGGGGACTCTAGTGCACTGCTGGTGGGAATGCAGACTGGTGCAGCCAGTATGGAAAACTATATGGTGTTACCTCAAAAAATTAAAAATTGAACTTCCATTTGACCCAGTGATCCCGCTCTAGGAATATACCCTGAGAAGCCTGAAACACCAATCAGAAAGAATATATGTACCCCCATGTTTGTAGCAGCACTATTTACAATAGCTAAGATCTGGAAACAGGCCAAGTGTCCATCAGTAGATACATGGATAAAAAAGCAGTGGTACATATACACAGTGGAGTACTATGCAGCTGTAAGAAAGAAAGATCTCTTATCCTTTGAGATGACATGGAGGGACCTGGGAAGTATTATCCTAAGTGAAATAAGCCAAGCAGAAAAAGACAAATATCACATAATCTCTCTTATATATGGAATATAATGAACATAACAGTCTGAGGAATACGGTAGACCCAGAAACATGGAAGTAGGGTACAGACTGACATCCATCAGAAGAGGGGGTAGGGGTGGGCAAAGAGATTAACCACAGAATTTATATGCATGTATACATAACCGATAGACATGGACAACAAAGCCGGGGACAAGGCTGGTGTTGGGTGGGGAGGGGGATGCCAATGGGGTAAAAAAGGCGAAACATCTGTAACAAAAAAATAAAAAATAAATAAAAGAAAAGAGATTTATGTGTTGTCATTACAGTACTACAATATTCTGTATTTATCTTCATGTTTACCTTTACCAGTGAGATTTATACTTTCATACATGGAAGTATATACTTTCTTGTTGTTTAGCATCTTTTCATTCCATCTTGAAGGTTTAGCATCTTTTCATTTCAACTTGAAGAACTCCTTTCAGCTCTTCTATTTGGGAATGCTTGTCAGGGAAATTTTGAACTTCTCCTTAATTCATTTAAATATATATTAAAATACATTTTTTATTGATCTTTTTAGAGAGAGAGGAGGGGGGAGAGAGAGAGAGAGAAACATTGATGTGAGAGAGATACATCAATTGGCTGCCTCCTGCCTCCCACTCAATGGGGATTGAGCCTGCAACCTGGGCATATGCTCTGACCAGGACTCAAACTAGGACATTTCAGTTCATGGGATGATGCTCAATCTACTGAGCCACACTGGCTAGGCTATTTCTCCTTAATTCTTAAAGGACAGTTTTGTTGTTCATGGTTGGCAGTTTTTTCTTTCAGTACTCTGACTACATTATGTTGCTCTCTTCTAGCCTGCAAGGCTTCTCCTGAGAAATCCTCTATTAATCTTGTAGGGACTCCCTTGCATGTTACAGGTTCCTTTTCTTTTGCTACTTCCAAAATTATCACCTTGTCTATGAATTTTGATAATTGAATTATAATGTGTCTTGGTGTAGACCCCTTTGATTCTATCTATTTGTGAACTTTTGGGCTTCATAAATTAATATATTTATTTCTATCTTTAAATTTGAGAAGTTCTCAACCATTATTTGTTTATTTGACTTTTCTGTTCCTTTCTTTTTCTCTTTCCCTTCTGGGATTCTCAAATGCATATATTATTTTGCTGGACTGTGGCCTGTATGCTTTCCTCTCTTTTTCATTCTTTTTTCTTTTTGTCCCTCTACCATGATAATGTCAAAATGACCTGTCTTTGAGTTTGTTGATTTATTTCTTCTGCATAATCAAGTCTTGTTGGAAGCTCTCTATTACTTTTTTTTTTTCATTTTAGTCATTGTATCCTTGAGCTCCAGAATTTTTGTTTTGTTCTTTTTCTATTTCTTTATTAAACTTTTCATTTTGTTCATGTATTGTTTTTATTATTTTGGTTAGTTGTCTATCTATGCTCTCTTGTAGCTCATTGAGCCTCATTAAGACAATTATATTGAATTATTTGTTCATAGATATTCTTTTCTTTAGTGTCAGTTACTGGAGCATTATTATTTTCCTTTGATGACATCATCTTTGCCAGATTCTTCATGGATACAGCCTTCATGATTTTTCATGATCTGTGCCTGCATTTGAAGGCACAGGCACCTGCTCCAGTCTTTCTGATTGTTTTTTTTTTTTTTAGAGGTGAAGATCTTCTACTACATCCCTTGACTGCTAGGGCTACTGTAGGGGTCTGTGGTCAGTGGGCCTGGTAGCAGGGCATGGTTAGATATATTTTCTGCTGGGCTACTGTGTGGGCAGGACTGCCTCCTGAATGTGGTAGAATGGGGCTGGAGCCAGGTCATAGGGATGCTGCAGGTCTATAGTCAGGTTCACATTTGGCCTTCATGTTACTTGGGCATGGTTCCTTTTGGGTCCCTGAGTGGACAGGTTTCCTCCAGGACCACAGTGGTGCAGGGTTGTATCCAGGTGATGGAGCTGCTTCTGGGTTCACAGTCATGTCTATGGTTGTCAGACCTCTTACTGGGGGCATGTATTTTCTGGGGTTCTTTGGTGGATGAGATGGGAGCAGGATCATGGACAAGCTAGGCTGAAGCCAAATCTACAGGTGGATGGAGCTGCTTTCAGGTCTGTAGCTGGGAGCACAGTCAGAAGGCCTGCCACTGGGGCTGGGGCATGACTTCTCTTATTGGCCCTCCTCAGTCTTTGGCTTCACCAGGGTTTTGCTACCTCTCATCTGGATCCTAAGACTTCCACAAGGGCACCTGTGTGTATAGATGGTTGCCGATTCATTGTTTCTGTGAGAAAGCAAAGGTTAAGAACCTGTTATTCTGCCATATTGTTTATGCCATATAGGAATAGAGTTAGCATAATGACAGGATAAAAATCAGTTATATCTCCCCTTTAACATTTTCTAAGACTCCTGAATCTCAGAAGAAAAACCTCTAGTAGGACGTGATCACACACTGTAAACTCGCCCTAAGAACTCACTCTCACCCAAGCTAATCAACAAATCCTAGGGTTTCAAGAGATATGGCTAAGACCAGCCCCTCCCTCTGCTATGACTCTCTGACCTTTCTTTATATATATATATAAAATTTAAAAAATCCTCAACCAATGAATATTTTTCCATTGATTTTCAAATACAGTGGGAGGGAGGGAGGGAGAAAGAGAGAGAGAAACATTAATGTGAGAGAGACACATCAATTGGTTGCCTCCTGCACAACCCCTACCAGGGTCAGGGAATCAAACAGCAACCGAGGTACGTGCCCTTGATCAGGATCGAACCCGTTGATGCTTTGGTCCATGGGCTAATTCTCTAACCACTGAGCCAAACCAGCCAGGGCTCTTTGAGCTTTCTTTCTTTTTTATTTTTTATAATTTTTTTCTTTTTTATTGATTTTAGAGGGAGAGAAAGTGAGAGGGAGAGAGAGATAGAAGCATCAATGAGAGAGAACATTGATTGGTCGCCTCCTGCATGCCCCCCAACTGGGGATTTGGCCTACAACCTGGACATGTGCCCTGACCAGGAATTGAACCGGCGACCTCTTGGTGCATGGGTTGACGCTCAACTGCTGAGCCACACTGGCCGGGTTCTTTGAGCTTTCTTAACATCCAAATTTATCTTTCCCATTAAGATATTTTTGAAAATTTTTGCTATAAAAATTATCAGAAAAATAAAATGTGAAACCATATAGTGGATTTATTATAATGTCTAACTTTCTAATCTTCAGCCATCAGTGTGTGTATAGGTTGACATTGCATTCATGGATACAACCCTCATGATTTTTCCTCTACTCAGTCATTTGAGGATTGGCTTCTGAGAAAGAAGCTAATCAGAGTTTGAGCCCCACAAGTCTCAGGGTGGCTTTATTTTTTTTATCCTCACCCGAGGATATTTTTCCATTTTTTGTACAGATAGAGTGGGAGGGAGAGAGAGGGAGAAACATCGATGTGAAGGGACACATCGAGTGGCTGCCACCCGCACGACCAACCAGGGCCGGGAACAAACTGCAACCAAAGTACATGCCCTTAGCGGGAACTGAACCCGGGTCTCTCCGGACCGCAGGCCGACGCTCTAACCGCTGAGCCAAACTGGCCAGGGCTCAGGGTGGCTTTATATTCTTTTTTGACTGATAGGTCTCTACCCTTTCATAGCCCTTGTTCCTTTAGATTGGTTCTCTTTGTCATAGTTTTTCACAAAATTTTGAATACTTATGTGTTGTGCAGTTTCCTTGGATGCTATAGTTCCAAGTCCCTTAGATGAGGACTTCACTTCTCTAATCAACCCCAAAATATATGTTTCAGCTATTACAAATGATTTGTGTTCAGAAAAACACACATGGAGGTCCAATTCTGACACTGATTGTTAAATCCTCTCCCCATTTCCCATTCCTTGGAAAAGGAAAACTTTAACACCACTGTTTATGACACATCACTTGCAATTGTCAACCTGTGATTATGAACACTCACTGGGTTTGTTTTTTTCTCTTAGGATTCGTGCGTCTGGCTGGAGGAAATGGACCCTGCTCAGGGAGAGTAGAGGTGAATTCAGGAAGAGACTGGAATTCAGTGTCTGGTGGGAATTTTACATTCCGCACTGCCCAAGTCATCTGTACAGAGCTGGGGTGTGGCAAAGCTGTGTCTCTTATGGTGGATGTGCCCTTTAGAGAGTCAGATAGACAGGTCTGGGCTGAAGAGTTCTGGTGTGAGGGGCAGGAGCCTGAGCTCAGGGTTTGCCCCAGAGTTCCCTGTCCAGGAGGCATTTGCCAGCACAATGGGGCTGTTCAAGTTGTCTGTTCAGGTGAGTTGCAGAGTAGGACTTTAACATCCCTACATACTCTGCTGGGGTGAGAAAAACATGAGATTTTGCTAAATTCCTGTTTTCTCCTACCAGCATACACAGAAGTGCGGCTCATGAAAAATGGCACCTCTCAGTGTGAAGGACAAGTGGAAATGAATATTTCTGGAGAATGGAGAATGCTCTGTGCCTCCCACTGGGATATGGCCAATGCCAATGTTGTCTGTCATCATATTGGCTGTGGAGTTGCCATCTCAACCCCAAAAGGAGCATACTTTGTGGAAAGAGATGATCAGATCTGGAAAGCCCAATTTCACTGCTCAGGGACTGAGTCCTTCTTATGGAATTGCCCTATGACTGCCTTGGGCATTCCTGACTGTACCCATGGAAACATAGCCTCTGTGATCTGCTCAGGTAAGAGAAAGGGAAGGCCTAACTGGTACTAAGGATGTTTTTTGAGTAATGTCCCCAAGAGCAGAAAGTATGGAAAAACTGTCTTAAAAATAAGGTATTTTGCTCTGGCCAGTTTGGCTCAGCGGTTGGAGCGTAGGCCAGTGGACCAGAGAATCCTGGGTTTGTTTCCTGCTAAGGGCACGTACCTTGGTTGCAGTTTGTCCCCAGCACCAGTTGGGGTGGTGTGGGTGGCGGCCACTCAGTGTGTCTCCTCACATCGATCTCTCTCTCTCTCTCTTCCTCCCTCTATCCCTCCTGCTGTATCTGAAGATAAATGCAAAAAAAAAAAAAAAATGTCCTCAGGTGAGGATAAAAAAAAAAATAAGGTATATTGTTTTTCTCATTCTTTATTCATTTTTCAGGTCAGGGCAAGAAGTGTTGATAAATAATATTTTTAAAGTAAACAATATAAGCATAATCATAGAGAACAATGTGTAAGTAATAAGTGTATACTTCAGTCATGTACCCCAACCCAGATTAATAAAGAGAATATTAATTGCACCCAAGAAGTCATCTTCCCTTCTCACCAATCACTGTGCCCTCCCTCCTCTCCAAAGAACTAGAAAAGGAAGAACAAACTAAGCCCAAAATTAGTAGAAGGAAGTAACAATGATCAGAGCAGAAAGAAATGAAATAGAGCCTAAAAATGATAATAGAAAATATTAATGAAACTATGAGCTGTTTTTTTTAAAAATATGTTTTTATTGATTTTCCAGAGAGAGAGAAAGGGAGAGAGAGATAGAAACATCAATGTGAGAGAGTAACATTGATTGGCTGCCTCCTGCACACCCCCCACTGGGGATGAACCCACAACCTGGGCACGTGCCCTGACAAGAAATAGAACTGGGACCTTTCAGTCCTTGGGATGGCGCTCAATCCACTGAGCCACACTCACTAGGCAAGAGCTGTTTTATTTTTAATTCTAACTTGTGGATATGTTTTTTAAAATTGATTTTTAGAGAGTGGAAGTGTGTGTGTGTGTGTGTGTGTGTGTGTGTGTGTGTGTGTGTGGTGGGGGAATGAGAGAGGGAGAGAGAGGGAGAGAGAGAGAAACATTGATATAAGAGAGAAACGCCAATCAATTGCCTCCCATATGTACACCCCCCTGATCAGAGATTGAACCCAAAATCTAGGTATGTGCCCTGACTGGGAATCTATTCATGTACAGGATGACATACCAACAAACCGAGCCACCTGGACAGGGCAAGGGCTGGTTTTTTATTTTTATATTTTAATTATTTTTTTATCCTAACCCAAGGACATTTTTGCATTTATCTTCAGATAGTGCGGGAGGGAGAGAGGGGGGAAGAGAGAAAAACATCAATGTGAGAGAGACACATCGACTGGCTGCCACCCACACGACCCAATCAGGGTGGGGACAAACTGCAACCGAGGTAGTGTCCTTAGCCGGAACCGACCCTGAGACTCTCTGGTCCGCAGGCTGACCCTCTAACCACTGAGCCAAACCGGCCAGGGGGCTTTTTAGACAAGATAAACAAAATAGAAAAACTTTTAGCTAGACTAAAAGTGAGAAAAAACAAACAAACAAAAAGGGCTCAAATATAATAAAAAAATGAAAGAAGAGACATTACAGCAGATACAACAGAAATACAAAGGATCGTAAGAGACCATTATAAATAATTATATGCCAACAAATTGAATAACATAGGTGAAATGGATTAATTGCTAGAAACACTACCTACCAAGACCGAATCATGAAAAAATAGAAAATCTGAACAGACCAATAACAAGTAAGGAGGTTAAATCAATTCTCAAAAAACTTCCAACATAGAAAAGTCCAGGAGAGGTAATTTCATTTGTGAATTCTACCAGAAACCTAAGGACAATTAACACCAGTCTTTTTCAGTCTCTTTCAAAAAATAGAAGAGGAGAAAAATACTTTCAAATTTATCTGATAAGGCCAGCATTAACCTGGTAGTAAAGCCAGATAATGACACTAAAAGAAAACTATAAACCCTTATCCTTGATGAATAAAGATGCAAAGTTTATCAATAAAATAATAGCAAATTGAATTCAACAACACATTCAAAATATCATACCCCATGACCAAGTGGGATTTATCCTTGGGATGTAAAGATGGTTCAACACATGTAAATTAATATGTGATGCACCACATTACTAGAATAAAAGATAAAAATCATATGATTATCTCCATTAATGCATAAAAAGCATTTGACAGAATACAACATCCTTTCATTATAAAACACTCAACAAACTGGGAATAGAAGGAACATAAAAAACAACAACCATATATTACAGATGCATAACTATCATTATATTCAAGTGTGAACAGTTGAAAGATTTTCCTCTAAGATCAGAAAAACTACAAGGGTGCCTACTTTTACCATTTTTATTCAGCATAGTACTGTAAGTTCTAACTAGAGCAATCAGAGAAGATAAAGAAATAAAAACATCCAAATGGGAAATAAAGAAGTAAAATTGTCATTATTTGCATATGCTATGATGTTATATATTGGAAATCCTAAAGACTACTCAAAACAGAAGTACTCAACAAATTAAGTTGAACTGTAGGATATAAAATCAACCACCCCATTCATAATAGTATCAAAAGATCAAAATACTGTAGAGTAAATTTAACCAAGGGTATGAAAGATCTGTACAATAAAAACTATAAGAGTTTGATGAAAGAATTTGAATAAGACCCAAATAAATGTAAAGAGACCACATGTTTATGGATCAGAAAATTTTTATGGAACTATGAAAAACCCAATTAGCCAAAGCAATCTTGGGAAAGAATAAAGCTGTAAGCATCACTCTTCTTGATTTCAAAGTATATTACAAAGCTATGGAAATCAAAACAGCATTATATTGTTATAAATACAGACACATAGATAAATGGAACAGAATAGAGAGGCCAGAACAAAACCCATGCATATATGGTCAATTAGTTTACAAAAAAAGAGCCAAGAATATATGGAAAGGATAATCTCTTTTTCTTTATTGACTTTAGAGAGAAAGGAAAAGAGAGGGAGAGAGAGATGGAAAGGAAGGGGGAGGGAGAGAGAGATGGAAACATTGATAAGAGAGAACATTGATTGGCCACCTCCTACATGCCTTACACTGGGAATTTGGCCCACAACTTGGGCATATGCCCTGATTGGGAATCGAACCAGCGACCTCTTGGTGCATGGGTAAATGCTCAAACACTGAGCCACACTGGCCAGGCAGAGACAATTCTAAGTTTTGACAAGGATGTAGATTAACTAGAGATCTCATATATTGTTGGTGGTAATGTAAAAGAAAATGATCTATTGAAAAATTAGTTTTTTAAAATAAGGTTAACATACACTTACTAGGCTACCCCAAAATTCTACTACTAGGTATTTGCCAAAGAGAAATGAAAACATATATCCACAAAAAATCTAGGCAAGAAAGTTTATAGCATTTTTATTCATTAGAGCAAAAATTTATACACCAAACGAATATTCATTAACAGAAGAATAGATAAACAAATTATGGCATATTCATACAATGGAAGACTTTTTAGCAATAAGAAGAGTAAACTACTAGTAAATAAAACTACACAGATAAACCTTAAAACATGTTGAGTGAAAGAAGCCGTACAAAAAGGAGTGCATATTGTATGATTTTATTAAATTCTAGAAAACATAAAACTAATTTATTGTGATAGAAGCTGTCAATGTTTGTCTGGGGCTGGGTTTGTAGGGGTTTTTATTGGCTGCAAAAGGCACATGGAAACTTTTTAGGGTCATGCATCTATTTTATATTTTAGTTGTGCTGACAGTTGTTAAAACTTATGAAAATATACTCTTAAAATTTTTTTTTTCTTTACTGATTTTAGAGAGAGAGGAAGGGAGAGAGATAGAAACATCGATGAGAGAGAGAACATCAATTGACCACCACCTGTATGTCCCCTCACCAGGAATCAAACTGGCGACCTCTTAGTGCATGGGGTGATACTCAATCATTGAGCCACACCAGTTGGGCAAAAATATACATTTTTAAAAATTTTGAATTATAGTTTACATTTAATATTATTTTCTATTAGTTTTAGGTGTACAGCATAGTGATTAGACAATTATATACTTTACAAAGTGTTCCTTTTGATGTTTCTAGTACTCACCTTGCACCATAAATAGACATTACTATATTACTGACTGTATTCCCTATGCTGTAGTTTATATCCCTGTGACTATTTTGTAAACACCAATTTATACTTTTATTTATTAAAATTTTTTTTCTTTATTGATTTTTATTTATTTTTTATCCTCACCTGAGGACATTTTTCCATTTTTTGTTCAGATAGAATGGGAAGGAGAGAGAGAGAGAGCGAAAGAGAGAAACATTGACGTGAAAGGGACACGCCGAGTGGCTGCCACCTGCATGACCCAACTAGGGCCGGGGACAAACTGCAACCAAGGTACATGCCCTTAGCGGGAACCAAACCTGGGTCTTCCTGGACTGCAGGTCAGCGCTCTAACTGCTGAGACAAATCGGCCAGGGCTCTTTATTGATTTTTAGAGAGAGAAAAAGAGATGGAGAGAGAGAGAGAGAGAGAGAGAGAGAGTGAGAGAGAGAGAGAGAGAGAGAGAGAGAAACATCAATGAGAGAGAACATTGACTAGCTGCCTCCTTCATGCCCCCACTGGGGACTGGGCCCACAACCTGGGCATGTGCCCTGACTAGGAATCAAAATGGCAAACTCTTGGTGCATGGATTGATGCTCAGCCATTGAGCCACATCAGTCACGCCCATTTTTAGTTGTTTGAGGACCCTCCATACTGTTTGCCATAGTGCTGTACCAATCTGCATTCCCACCAGCAGTGCATGAGGGTTTCCTTTTCTCCATATACTTGCCAGAATTTGTTGCATGTGGATTTATTGATGATAGTCATTCTGACAGGTGTGAGGTGATATCTAATTGTGGTTTTAATTGTCATTTTTCTGGTGATTAATGAC